GGAGCGTGTCCAGAGCAGGGCAGCGAGGCTGGGGAGGGGGCTGGAGAACACGTCTGATGGGGGGCGGCTGAGGGAGCTGGGGTTGTTCAGTCTGGAGAAGAGGAAGCTGAGGGGGGACCTTCTCACTCTTCACAACTACCTGACAGGAGGGTGTAGTGAGGGGGGTGTTGGTCTCTTCTCCCAACTAACTAACGATAGGGCGAGAGGCCATGGCCTCAAGTTGTGTCAGAGGAGGTTTAGATTGGATATTAGGAAGAATTTATTGACTGAAAGAGTGGTCAGGCATTGGACCAGGCTGCCCAGGGCAGTGATGGAGTCCCCATCAATGGAGGAGTTTGAAAAACACATGGATATGGCACTTCAGGACATTGTTTAGTAGGCACGGTGGTGTTGGGTGAATGGTTGGACTGGATGATCTTAGAGGTCTTTTCCAGCCTATGATTCTATGATACCCTCGATAGCTATCGTGGTACTGCAGCATGGGTGAATTTGCTTGCATTGTCCTCATCCCCAAAGCTTGTGTGGTGTTTGAGCTGCTTTAACGGACGCTGTTTGAGTTTTTAAAGAAATGCAGGGGTTTGCAGTGGAGATACATTTGCTGTATTTTTGATCTTGTAGTAGAACACAGATGTAAGAGAAATAAGGGTCTCTATCAGAAATAATATATTCAGTTTTGTGAAGTACTCATTCTGAATGGAAGAACGCGTATTGCCAAACTTGCAGTATGTTTAATGTATTGTGGGGTCACCTTGCTGTTCTGAAATGTGCTGTTTGTTCCTTGTTTTTAAACAGTTTCCTTATACACTTTTGACAAGGCGAGGCAGTGTATTGGCACCATGACGATCGAGATAGATTTCCTGCAGAAGAAGAGCATTGACTCCAACCCCTACGACACCGACAAGATGGCTGCGGAGTTCATCCAGCAGTTCAACAGCCAGGCCTTCTCCGTAGGCCAGCAGGTGCGGGCTTGGTGTGGTTTTTGAAAACCAAACTGATCTTAAGGAACGTGTGCGTGCTGGTGCTACGGTGATGTAAGATACTGGAGAATGCCTGGCTGCTGCAAGGGGCTGCTAGTAGGCAGAAGTTTTTTCTTGTGTCAGTGGTTTCTTTATGAAAAGTTGAAACATCGTGACTTTCACTGAGGGCATGAGCAGCGCTTTTTCGTGATCTAAAGAAACCTGTCTGTCTCTGAAGGAAAATCCCAAAGCTGGAGAGAGCTGGGTGCTCTCTCTGTTGTGTTGAACATAAGCATGGCAGCTCCTGGAATCTTTTGAGAAGTAACGTTTGCCTTCCTTGTGTGTCAGATCAAATGACCACTGGTTTTAATTAATTCTCACCTTTCAAATGCAGTATATTGTAATATTTATTGCTGCTCTGTGGACTCCAGTAGTAAAATAGGTGCGAAGCATTTGATGTAGGGATTTCTGAAAGCCGATGTCCCTGTAACTGAGCGTTCTCAGCTCTGCAGCAGATGGGCTTCTGCCCCTGCGAACGTCTGTGGTCGCCTCCTGTTTGCCGTATTCTCAGGACAGGCTGAGGTCTGTCTCTCACAGAAGGTTACAACTTGCTCTGAATCTAAAGTCAGTTGCAAACGTAATCTTGGAGGAAAGGAGTCGTGCAGAGACAGCCTGCTGTTCTGTGGGATGGACCCTGCTTCTCGTAACACTCATTCTGTCTCTCGCTACTGTAGCACTATTTTTGAGGTATCCTTGGCAAACTGAAATATGGAAGATCAAAAAGGTTTGAGCTGAATTGTTCTCCTTGCCTAAAACCAACATCTAAAGTGAGAGGAAAGTATCAAGAGATGATGTAGAACATTTAGCTGGGGAGAAAAGGGTGGGAAAGAGAAGCTTTTCTTGGAAGGAGAATTTTCCTTTCAGTTTTTCCACCTGACTTTGTTCTGCTGCGTTTGATCTGTTACCCATAAGTATGGGACATGAAAGGAACGTGTTCAGCACACCAGAGCTTTACAGGATAAAAAATACATGGAATTTGTTGGGTGGTAAACTCAGGCCTCTTTCTCTTCAAATCTTAGTAGCCTTGTCAAAGTCCTTTTTAGCATTTTAATGAGGTAAAATCCCCTTCTGTTTTTTCTTTCCGCAGCTTGTGTTCAGTTTTAATGACAAACTTTTTGGCCTGTTGGTAAAGGACATGGAAGCTATGGACCCCAGCATTCTCAAAGGAGAGTCTGGAGCAAGCAAGAAGCAGAAGGTAGGCTCGCAGGACTTCGTGTTCACTGCCTAGGGACTGTGGAGGTTCAGGTACCGGTCAGAGCTTGCTACAAGCAGGAATTTGGGTTACTTGCATTTGGAGAAGTTGCACGGTCACTTCATCTGGCTGCTGCTTTTGCCTCAGAGAAGATAAGGACCGTTGTCTGCAGTTTAATGCAGTCTCCTGTGCTTGTGTAGTTGGGAGCTTTGAGGTGGACCCACTAAAGTGCAGAGCTGGGGAAGATACAAGGAATATCTTTTGGGGTTTATGTGCTAATTCGTGGAAACATCCTCTTTGGAGCCTTTTTGTCTTCCAAATCTGTCCAGTTTTGGTTTTTCCTTCTGTAGAAAGGGTGTGGTTTTATTTTCTTCTTTACTTGCTAGATCTTGCTGAAATAAAATAGTTGGTTTTGAACTAAACGAATAACTTTAGAAAGGCAATTGATTATACCTGATGAGCTTCTGCATTTGGTGGTGTTAGCTTTGGAGGAGGTGTTGGCTTTTCACATTCTTCCCCAATGACTTATGTAATGGAGCTGTTGCTGTTGTTTCCTGCCCTCCGAGAAGTGCTTGGAGATACCTAAGGAGCAATCTGAAGCTGAGCCTGATCATGTAATTATTGATTTCCTTCCCTTTTGCAGATTGAGGTCGGTTTGGTTCTTGGAAACAGTCAAGTTGCCTTTGAAAAAGCTGAGAACTCCTCTCTCAATCTGATCGGTAAGTGCCACTGTATCTGAAGAGATAAATAATGCCTGAGGTTTGCTGCTTCGCAGGCCGCAGACCAGTCTGCCTCCAAGTTTGTTTTTCGTGTTACATCAGTTGACCTAATCCATTGAAAACTGCCCCTCAAAATGTCTCCCAGGTATCTGCTCCATCTGGGAGATCACTGGATTTGATCCCTTAGGAACCTGTCACACCCTCTAGAAAGCAATTTTTAGATCCTCAGGACTCTCTTGAAAACCGCTGCGCTGAGAAGACACCATCCCTCCAGCAGACTTCGCTGGTGCTAAGCAGGGGCTCTGTAGAAGTCCCTGTCCTCCCCGTGTGAAGCTCCACAGCTGAGGGACGTACGGGAGCAGTTGGGTGCGTCTCCGTGCCGTGCTTACTGCCGCGGTGTATCTGAGCTGTACAGACACCGGGCCGGGGGGGAAAGGCGAGCGGGACTTGGAGAGGTTCTGACAGCAGCAAATCGAGTTAGAGGAGTAGAGGAGTTAGAGCACCTGGACTCCTAGGCCTAGTTTAGAAAGGCACCGTGGAACAGTACTGCAGCACAGGTCAGCAACTAGTTGAAGTATGTCAACTCTTTAAACATCAGAGGATGACATTTTCAGGGACACTAACAAGCCAACACCTCTTTAGTTGAATTTAATTAAAACAGTGGGGAAATAGGAAATTGAGAACTGTTTTGAACATGTAGCCAAGATTTCAAAGGGACTCCAAAACTTCTGAAAATCCCACCTGTGAATGAGATCTCTTCTTCCAGGAGAGAGGACAGCTTCTGAAGAGCGCTTCTGAAGGTCCTGCTCTTCAGAAAGTGATGACAGCTGCAAGACACAGCACGGGGTTCGTTTTGTGTTTTAACTGCTTACACAGCAAGATTATTAACAAAACCATGAGCATTTTTAATCTAAAACCTCAACAAAACAAATCTTTATCTACAATTTCAGACTTCACTAGCAAAGAATTTGGGGAATAATTGTGTCCTCCACCGTTCATCCAGAAGGAAACTGGTGTAGGGCTGGGGAGGAATCTGGTGTCTTCCCCTAGAGCCACCAGCTTGGGTGATGGGGACCTGGACCACGAAGCGGGCCGTGAGGGCCCCTTCCCTGCAGCTGGCCTTGTGTGTGCTCTGGGAGCGTGGTGGCTGTCCGGCAGAGCAGGTACGCACTCCGTTCATCTGGCTGTTGCTTTTCTTATCAGTGTACTCTTATCAGTACAGGCTTGGGGTGGACCTGCTGGAGAGCAGCTCTGCGGAGAGGGACCTGGGCGTCCTGGTGGACGACAGGGTGACCATGAGCCAGCAGCGTGCCCTGGCTGCCAAGAAAGCCAATGGGATCCTGGGGGGCATCAAGAAGAGTGTGGCCACCAGGGTGCGGAAGGATGAAGAGCTACTGGAGAGAGTCCAGCGGAGGGCTACAAGGATGGTGAGGGGACTGGAGCATCTCCCCTACGAGGAGAGGTTGAGGGAACTGGGCTTGTTCAGCCTGAAGAAGAGAAGGCTGCGAGGGGACCTTATAAATGCCTACAAATATCTGAAGGGTGGGTGTCAGGAGGATGGGGCCAAGCTCTTTTCAGTGGTGCCCAGTGACAGGACAAGGGGCAATGGGCACAAACTGAGGCACAGGAAGTTCCGTCTGAACATGAGGAAGAACTTCTTCCCTCTGAGGGTGCCGGAGCCCTGGCCCAGGCTGCCCAGGGAGGCTGTGGAGTCTCCTCCTCTGGAGATATTCAAGACCCGCCTGGACAAGGTCCTGTGCAGCCTGCTCTGGGTGACCCTGCTTGGGCAGGGGGGTTGGACTAGATGACCCACAGAGGTCCCTTCCAACCCCTAACATTCTGTGATTCTGTTACGAGGTGGACGATTCTTGGCAAGCCCACAGTTGCAGATGCCTCCCTTGCTGGTCATGCGGCTCGAGGCGTGCGTTTCTGGGGGGGATTCGAGCCCTGTGCTTGAACAGACACTCTGATTGTTTTTTTTTTCCTTGTGTTCCTTTCCGATCTTGTTGCCTCTTGCTGGAGCCCGTGAGCTGAGCAGACTTTTGCTGCTGCTGTTCCACAGTTGGGCAGTGGCAGGTGGAGGCTGCTGTGAGCGGGTTCAGGGAGCCTGGCCAGCGCAGACCAGCGCTCAGGCGAGTACTCAGCTGAGTTTTAATACCTATGATTTTTGCAGTAGGCTTCAAAGCGTACCTCTGCTTTCCTGTGAATGCTGGCATATTTGTTACAGAAATAAAACATGTGAGGGTAGTGGCCACTTAGGACAGTGGAACTCAACTCGTTCAGCATTGCAGAGCGTGTGGCAGAGCCTGAGTTGTGCCACTGCCCTGCAGCGCTGTCCTCCCCGGGCGCGAGGCTGTGACTTCGTGCTCTGGAGTCGTCTGCTTCACGTGCTGCGGTTGCTCCGAAAGCTGGGGAGACCGAGGCTGTGGTGGCACCGTGTACCTTGCGTCTTACATGGACATTTTTACCCGAAAGTAGAGCAGTCATCTGCACTGAAAACGCCCACCAGAGCTCTGGGGGCTGAACTGTAGATGACTGTAATTAAGCATATTAACAAGGATGCTGGTTTTAAGAGCACCGAATGAAGTTTGCACAATTAGTTCATACCTGTGATTACATGATTACAGCCCCTTTAGGTTTTACTGTGTGTTGGTAGAACAGCTTGAGGTGAGTATTAACATAATCCAATTTATTGCATCAGAGCAAGCAGTGATATTTTACTTGATTAATATTCAAAGCCATATAATGACCTGTGATCTTCCTCCTAGCATGTGTAGGGGTGAAGAGTGGTCCTGTGGGAGAGCTGATTGATTGGGAATGGGAATCCTTCTCCGTGATTCAATTGCCTGCAGACAAGACAAAAGAGTTGCTTATGCCTCAATTTACTTCTGTCAGAATGGTGCTTTATTTAATCTCCTCACTGATCTGAGGCAGAGCTACTTAATGTGCTTTGTTGGTCTCTGGAGAATTGTAAAATTGTGAATAATTAAATTTTGAGAGAGGACATAAAAATAGAGTAAGTGTCACTGATTACTGCCTTCAATAAAGGGTCTTTATTGTTTCAATAGAAAAGAATTGTGATCATTAAAAAAAAAAGCCAATTCTATTTCTTCTACTTAGCATAAAATCATGTGTTATAAAACCAGTGGACGATGTTTTAATTCCATCTGCAAGGATTTCATTGTGATCAGATGCAGCCAGAAGGGGGGGGTGCAGGATAAGAGGAACGTCCCTGCCTGAGCGATCTGATCTGAAAACCGCAGTGGAGCAGTGAGATGAGGAATAGCGAGGGACCGGGCAGCCGGTGCCCGCTCTGCCCTGCCTGGTACTCGCTGTTGCTGCTGTCCCTTCCGTGCTCTGCAGTGCTGTCCCTGTCGTCTTAGTCCGAGGCAGCGGCGTCTTCGTTTATTTTGCTACTCCTGGGACTGAAGTGTGGATTCCTGCTGCGTGTAGACCAAGAGTGTCAGCGGTCGCAGTCAGCTCACACAGAACTTTTCGTTAGCGTATTTACTGGACTGCAGATGCTAACTCATTGTCTGACTCAACTCGAGGTGTCTCTGGAAGAGGTTATGGAACAAATCAGCCACCTGCGCTGGTGTAGTTAGCCAGGGCTGGCTTTCTGGGGGAGGTGGTGGTCCCCAGGGCCAATCCTGTAAAGCACCGTGTAAATCTAAGAAAATACAAGACACCCAGTTTCTGCGTGAATGGAGGACAATCTTCAGTCCTTGCTTTCTGCCTCGGGTTTTGTATTACTGTTGGCTTCTCTGGCAGCGACGCAGAGTGACGTCGCTGGAAGCTGTTTAGATCTAACGGATGCGAGCGTCAGTGCCTGTGTGTGAATACCCTCGGATGAGCTGAAGGTGAGCCCACGTGGACTGGGCAGCATCTCAGCAGCGTTCTCAGAGGAGCGTTTGTGCTTACTGTCTACCTCCTGAGAGCCCCGAGTACTTGAAAGGTTTCTGCAAAGGGACTAAGGAGCTCCTAAGACTAAAACTTGTGTGGTTTGTCAACAAAAGAGAAAGGAGGGCGGTTACAGCGTCAGATGGAGACTGCAAAACCTGGGCTTCAGGGATCTGGCTGAACTGGAGGTAGCCCTAGAAGAGGTTGTGGAACAAACAGACAAAATTGACCGTGGTGGCTTGCCGAGACTGGCTTTTGTTCTTCCGAGCTGTGAAGGAACTAGCAGACCTTGTGATTGTTTTGTGTAACCTTGCTTAAAATCGCTGTGGTGTCGAAGGACTGGAAGACGGTGAATGTGCCGTCTGTTTTGTGGAAGGATTCCAGAGAAGGTCTGGAGAACTGCGGGTCCTTGACCCTGAAATCTGTACAGCAAATTGACACAAACCGTAAGAAGGAATCAAGTGAGTGGATACCTGTGTAGAGATGATACACGGGGAAGGGTTGGCTTGTCTGCTGTAAGGGCAGTCCTTCCTCGTGACCCCACCAGAGTTCATGATGGACATCAAAAAGCATGGCAGAAGGGCTGACATAATCTGCTTGTTTTTCGGAGCTCTTCCAGCAAAGTTCTTGATCAGAGTTTATTTAAAAAGAAGCAAACAGAGATGGGTGAAAGAGAAGGTGCTTACATGAGTAGAGGAGTTCGTGAAAGGGTAGAACTAAATGGCCAGTGCCAGTGGTGACTCTCTGCTGAGGCGTTTGCTTTTCATTATAGTTATTGAATAAACTGGAAAAAAGGCTGAGCAGTAAGGTGAAAAAGCCTGCTCTTATGGAGCTGAGTGACTAAGAAATAAAATGGCAGAGGAAATTCGATGTAAATAAATGTAAAGTGATGTGTGGGAGGAAGAACACTTTAAACTTTGGTCAGACATGACTGCTGTCTGGGGCCGAGATCCCAGCTGTGGTAGCTCCAAGGAAATGCTGGACCCATGCTCAGCGGCAGCCTGAGCCCTCTGAGGAACTGTGAAGTACGATTGTTGAGCATTAGTACACGTTATTAATAAAGCAATATGAACGAAGTGGAGCATAACTTTGTGCCTGTGTTTAGGATGCAGACAACCCACAGTGCGTGCAGTTCCAAGCTGCCTGCCTGTCAGCGGCTGGAGCGGAGATGGAGCAGACTGAGAGGGGAACAGGGCTGCTCAGGTGTGGAGCAGCTGCCGCGTAAGGAAGGAAGAACAAGTGAGGACTGCTCTGCCTGCGAAGGGCACGACTGAGGAGGGCACAGGACAAACTGTGATCGTCCCAGGCAGCCTGGAAGAGAGTGGATACTGATAGTATTTACTGCCTCTCCAGACAGAAGATCTGGGGGACATGGAGCTGGCAGGAGCTGGCGCAGGGAGGCGAAAGGAGGTGTTTGGTTGCGCAGCCGGTGGCAGACACGGCGAGCTGGATGCTGCAGGGCCGGTCTGGGTGGTAAGTTTACCTGGGTCCGAGGGGACCTAGGTAAACTCATGGCAAAGAAATCTACTGTGGAGTCTTAAATAAATAGGAGCAACACCTGGCTTGAGGAATCCCTGAGCTGGATGGTTGGAAGGCTGGAATATAGTTTCCTACGTAAGCTGAGGCTCTGACTGCCCTTGCACCCTTGTCACAGTGCATCCTCGTGGCTAACGCTTGCAACCGAACGTCGAGTTGGCTGGGCAGGGGTCTGACCTGGTGGAACTGTTGGTGGTTGTTCTTCTGTCTGCTGTAATTCTGTGGTGCTTCATCACTGAAAACCATCAACCCAGACTGGAATTTTGAGAAAATGGGCATTGGGGGCCTTGACAAAGAATTCTCAGATATTTTCCGACGAGCTTTTGCTTCCAGAGTTTTTCCACCTGAAATTGTGGAGCAAATGGGTGAGTGTGATCTGAAGAAGTATGGCTGGGGTACAGGATGCCAGCCTGTTTCTGGTTTGTAGAGACTGGATATGAACTAACGACCTTGGGGTGCCGTAACGTGGCAGTTGCTTAGAGATCTGATGGACTAACAAGGCCTTTTCTTCTCCTGTTGCTCCTGAATGTCTTTCGTGCTCTTGTTGCTTGGCTGGAGGGGAGGGGCAAAGAGACACCGTGAATACTCCAACACTGCTACGTGAAATGTCTGAACGAAGGAGATAGGGGATTTAACTGAATACTTTTCTGTTGGACTCAGATGCTCCCTATTCTTTTGAATGCTTCATTGATTCGTAGTGGGGAGACTGAATGCTCCTGTTGCCGGCTTCCTGGCAATGGGCTGTCTGTATAGGTCAAAAGAAATTCTGTCTTAATGATCCTGCCGTATATATTACATATCTGTTGTCCTGGCAGTTGCACTATAGACCTAGGTCCTTCTCACAGCGTCACCCAATAAACAGAGTATCTTGTGTGAGCCGATTTGAAATGCTGGAGAGGACGCACAGGCCCTGGCACGTCGCGGAGTCTGTGAAATAAAAGCACAGATTCTACATATAATGTTTGGGGGGGGGTGAGGGAAGGAAGGGCGGTCCCATTACTTTGTAAACATATGCTGGCAGGCAGATAAATGGTACTGGTTTTAATTTTTAGTAAGCAATATGCAGCTGCAGATAGCTTGTTTTGTCACATAAAGTGGCGGGGGATGTTATAGCTGGTCCTCGTTCTCCGAATATGATCTCTGTGGGTTCGTATTTGAATTTGGAATTTGTAGCTGTATAATTTCTGTGTATGTTTGTATTTCTTGATCCACCTTCCCTCTCCCCCCAGATAAAGCAATCAAGATTTTGATTACAAAACAGATTTCCATCAGAAGATATGTCCTGTTTGTGTGTGGCTGCATAACGTGTGTCTGTTTCCAGTGCTTGTGGAATTGGTGTTAAACTTCCCCGTGAGGTGCGTTAGGTCTTTTCTTAGCAATTTGAACACTTAGGGGGAAACACTGGAGAAACCCCGTAGGCTAAATCCAATTAGTGCACAGTTCTCTCTCCTGCCTTTTTGCTTCGTATCGATCTGATAGCCAAGGCCTTCTGGGGGCTGATCTTGATTCTCTTGGTGTTTGTGGCTGTGAGCAAGTCATAACTTCTCTGCTTCTGCTTGAGAATATCAAATGCTTAAATTTGTTAAGTATTTAGCTGCTCTGCAGAGAGAGGAAATGAGAGAAATGGTGTTGGCTGTGGAAAGAAAAGCTCTCTACAACTGCCTGACGGGGCTGTAGTGGGGCAGGTGTTGGTCTCTTCTCCCGGGTAACCAGCGACAGGACGAGAGGCCATGGCCTCAAGTTGCGTCAGGGGTGGTTTAGGTTGGATATTAGGAAAAATTTCTTTACTGAGAGAGTGGTCAGGCATTGGACCAGGCTGCCCAGGGGGGTGGTGAAGTCCCCATCCCTGGAGGGGTTCAAAAACTGTGTGGATGTGGCACTTGGGGACGTGGTTTAGCAGGCACGGTGGTGTTGGGTGGGTGGTTGGACTTGATGATCTGAGAGGTCTTTTCAATCTTAATGACTGTGATTTTACCCAGGCACTCTGTTGTGTGCAGTTCAGAAATGTTGCAGACAGCTGGCCTTTGGGTGCACCGGCATCCCTTACTTGAAATATTTTCATCTTTTGAAGCAACTATCGTATATATTTGTGGCTGCAGTGCAGAGTCCTTAGCTGTGACCATAGGTGAAGATAAAAGATTTAGACTTTGGGAATTCTCGTTGGTGTCGCTGGACTGATGAGAAATGTGTACTAAATGAGACCAGAGGTAATTGGAGCTTGTTTTCATTTTGCTACAGCATCACCTGTTCAGCTTCCCTGGCTGCGTGCGATCCGGCAGCGTGTTGAGCAGTCGTGTGTCAGGCTACGGTTACCTTCCCTTGATATTATCCTTAACTGAATTAACCTGCCAGCTGGGCGCTCTTGGATCGCGATGTGCAGCGGCTGACTTCGCTGTGGGGGACCTGCGTCTCCACCAGGTACCTCTGAAGAAGGTCAGAAGCCTTGCTGACTGCAGGGTGAGGCTGCGGAGCTGCCTTGCAGGGTGTGCTGCTCAGATGGTTCCTCGTGTTAATTGGTGTTGCTTAATACAGGAAGAAAAGATTCTCTGAAGGACCACTAGTATTTTGATTACCCTGGGCAATGAATTAAAGGCGTGCCATATTATTTATGTAAATACATACACCCTTACTTGTGCGTGTTTACACACATACTACACAAAGAAACATTTTTCTCCTGAGAAGTGAGACTCCAAACCGAGCTCTCTAGCTCGCTGATTAACCCTAGGGCTAAAGAGCTTATCTGAAATTTGAAAAAACAAAACTTTCTGGCATTCTTTTTCTTTGCCTTCGTTATAACTTGCTCTTAACTGTATTTCAGATCTGAAATGTCAGTGTGACAGCTGTTCACCTTTGTATATAATTTATAGGGAAAGGAAAAGAAAGAATCTGCTTGCTATCTGGTGCTCCAGCGCTCACCCGTTGCTGGTTTTTGCCCAGTGCTCACAGACTGCGACTTCCATGCCAAATGCAATAAATATTTCTGTCCCGTAACTACATAAAGGCTCTGTAGACCCTTCAAAAACTACTTGCAATTTGTGTGTGGTTTATCTAACTTCCAAGGAATGTTCTGGCTTTGGAGCACATAAATCAACGTTAGTTGACCATATTATCCAAGGGTGTAAATACTACTCTGATGCTACAAGCTTTGGTTTATCCAAGAAAGGAAATCTTAGCTCAGCTTCAGCTGGTCATTAAAGCTTGCCATGGCTCCCTGCTGCCCTGGAAAGGAGCAATTTACTTTCCCCTACCCACGCTTTTCCCGCGCGCGTAGCTGCCACCTCTGCTGTGGTGGCTTTGGGCTTGTATGGCTCGGTAGAGAGCTAATACAGTGGGAAGCAAAAAATACTAGTAATTAAAAAAAAATGACATGGTCAGCATTCAGCTAGATCAGCTCGCTGGGTGGCTTGATGTGGCACAGCTACGCGGGCGCCGGGGCAGCGGGTGGTGGGGGTAAGGTCGCTTTTGAGCCAGGGTGGGACCTTCATCCCTTTAACCTGATGGCTTTTGAGACTGTAGCTTCGCAGTCATTTCCTGGAGGTTCTTCAGCGTTACGAACATTGTGATGCTGATATCTTTCACCTAATGCTTGGCTCTGAGTAATCTTTTGACTGCCAAATGGAGATGACTCCTTGTCTGGGTGAGGGCTGAGGAGGGAGTCTTGCAGCAGAAGGGGCACTCCGTTTTAGTGCCGTCCATGAGGCGCCTCTGTCATACGAACGATGCTTCTGTGGATGCTTGCTGGGCACTGGTGGAGGTGACAGAGCAGCCAGTCCCTGGCTGAAGGACAGCCCTCCAAAGGCCGGGTTTCTAGGCAGTCATCCTCCTTTTCGGCCCTTTCGGATCTCTGTGATGCACAGCTTTACTCCGGGCTGGACAGCTTTGTGGCGAACTGCAGACTGGTTTTGCTTACTCTTTGTCGCAGCATCCTCTTGCTGAAGCTAAAGCTCCTCCTTTTATTCGATAAATATTGTATTTTCCTCAACTGTTCCTGCAGATAAGCCCTTTCTTCGCATCCATGTTAAACGCTGGTTTTTTTTCTGCTGAGACTTTAAATTCAGCTCATTCAGTGGCCTGTGCCACTGCCTAGCACTGCGACTTGGAGTACTTACTGCAGCACTCGTCGCTCTGCCCCTGGCCCCGCCGACTTCAGCAGGTACGTAGCCATTGGGACTAAAGGTTCTCATATTTGGCGCCTGGTGCTGTAAATTTCAACAGAACTCAAAAAAAAGCGTTTTCTTGGACGTGAAAAGAAAATGTTAGTTACTGAGCTCTTGTTTTTCTGTTTAAAGAGCACTCTGGTGTCTCCATGCATTGAAACACAATCTTGACTCTCGGAAGGGAAGTGATTTTTGTGACTGCGGTGGCACGTTAGTCGTCGTAGAGGCTGCTGAAAAAGCAGAGTCTGTATGTACAGGTTGTTGTTATGGCTTAAGAACAGGTATAGAAATGTTTGGTGTTACAGCTCATGTTCCTTTAAAGAGAGTGAAATGGAACCCGAATTCCCCGTCCCCTCCTGTCACCATCAGTCCGTAGGTTAAATCAGGCTTTGCCAAGATGGTTGCTGGTTCCTGGTCACCGTCTGCTCTGACCCCTTGGATCAGTTGGTTTCAGTGCTCTGTAGGTTTGAAGTAGCACTCGCTATATGAAAGTGAAGTATTGACAAAGCACAAGATGAACATTCAAATTAGCAGATACCCAGCTATTATTTTCTTTCTTGGATTCTGCCTGTGAACTGGAGGCTTGTCTTTTAAGCTGTCTTAAAAATTAATACGTTAATGTTCTTGAAGCACTCAGATACTTCAGAGAAGAATAATGATGGAAAGAATCTCATCCAGTCTATTCTTAATATAGGATAATTTTAATGACGAATCAGTGTCAGACATGTCTAACCTGTAACTGGGGTGCTGGAGCCTCCCAAGGCAGCCTGTTCCACTGCTCAGAGCATCTTCACTGTCAAAAATTTTCAAGTGTTTATTCTCAGTTTTGCAGCAGTTCATCAAGTATTTGTTATTTCTTTTATGTTTTTCGATGAGGCTTTTACATAGTTGTCTGTTCGTTTTTCTCTTCAGTATTCCCAGGGCTACATCTCAGATTTTAAAGCCATTTCTCATAACCTCTCGATCACCGATCGCTGCTGTTTCTCTTCCCTTGGTCATTCTTCACTGCTTAGAAGTGTGATGACCAGAGCAGGGCCGGGTCAGCGAGGTGCAGATCAGTTCCAGCTCAGCTGGCAGTCTGGTCTGTGCCTCGGTGTTCAGAATTCTCTGTGGGCAGATTTTTTTGTTTTGCAGCATGCAGTTAATTATTCCTACCCCAGTGTGGAAACTTGTGCGTCAAATGACATTGTTTTTAAATGAAATTAAAA